GCTGAAGGCTGACGTTGCTGCTTCGCCTTTACGTCCCCGTCATCCTGAGAAGTCGGGAGCGAAGTCACACGACGGCGATCACGAGGGCTGCCGCGTGCGACGCGACGATGCAGCCGTGAAAAGATCGATCGCTTCGATCGGCCGCGGAGTGTCCGTTACGCGCGCGTTCTACTGCGTCGGTCGGTTCGCGCCGCCGTGTGAAGTTGGCCGCGGGTGAGTGCACGCGACACGCGTCGACTTGAATTCGGGAAGTCGCGTGATTCCGGTGCGGGAGAGTGTATGTGTGTGTGTGTGTGTGTGAAGCCGTGTTGTGCGGATTTATTGGACGATCAGTCTGGGGACAAATCGCGACTATCACGGTGAACGAGCCGGAGCGCGGCGAGATCGATCCGCAAAATCGACCCGCGGGATCAATCCGCAAGATCGACCCGCAGGATCAATCCGCGAGATCGATAGAGGGATTCGATAGGGCGGTTCGGCCGACTCGCGCGGTGGATGCGCGCGTCGCTGACAACAAGGTAGAGAAGTCTGGAGCCAATTGTTGAAGTTGAAGTCGCTGACAACAAGTGCATAACTTGCGACGTGTTGACGAGTGGTAGTAGTGCGTTTGCTCTCCGACGAGTGGATCCAAGAACGGCGCGAGGCCGGCACAGACGGCGAAGATGGGGGTGAAGAATTTTATCATGAAGCGCATCCCGTTCTGCAAGATGAAGGCGAAGCGGAAATACCGTGAGTCCACTGCGAAGTTCGTGTCTGAACGAGGACACTGCTCGTCGTTCAGACACGAGACAGTCGTCCGCGTCTCCCGACCCCGCTTGATCCGCGTTGTCCGCGCTGAACGTCTCGACGAGAACGACGGCGACGTGCGTCAGGACTTCTCGCGACTTCTACGCCGCCGTTTCGCAAGAACGCCACGTCGGATCCGGGCCGCGACTCGCTATTGTTTATCGTCCCGATTAGCGTCACCGGCCGGCGAGACGTTAACAGATAATTTATCGAAGTCCAAGCAGGCTGGATTCGCTATCAACAGAGTGACGCGATATCCTCGCGACCGCCGGGATCGAGCGACCTCCGCGGTCGATCTCTTTTCTTTCGTTCTCTCTTTTATTTATATTCGTATCGTACGCGGATCACGCGGTCGCGCGTCGGGAGAAACGCGTGATGTGTCTCGCCGTGTTTTACGAGAGTGCGTTCGTTTGCAACACGAATGGCCGGAGGATGAAAGTGCCGGCGACGAATCGGAGCGTTCGACAGAGAATTCTGCTCGTCACAAGGAGAGCGTCTAATTCGCGCGACGCGAGACCTTCTCGCGTTCTCGTTACGACGACGATGACGGCAGAACTCGATTTGCCAAAGCGGTCGCCGACAGAAAAGGGGAAGAGAGCCTTCACGCGTAGCTCGTTCTTCACGTTTATGTTCACCCTTAAACGACAAGGTGAAATTGTATGACATGAACGATCAGGTGAGATCATACGTGATCCCTACATTTTTTGAGTTTACTTCTTTTTCTTCGGCATAGTGAAATTTGTATTGGAACGAATAAATAGAAATTTAGCAAGAACGTACTTTTTTATTGTACCAAATTATTTTTCCAGTGCAAAAAGTGACTTTGGCGCAAACACATCACGAGGTTTCAATGGATTGCATTGAGAAATATGCACTGAATCAGGTTATTCTCGATCACATCTTGTCATTTAAGGACTGAGTCATTCGTAAATATTCGTAAATTATTATAACGGAATACGTTGAAAAAGAAGAGAATCGCAAATGGACAGTGGAAGTATATATAAGAGGAGAATCATAAATCATTAAGAAGATAAAAAAAAACAGCTTGTTACGTCCTCGTTCAAATGTTAGAATTTTCAATCTAACAAAGAAAGACCGACAAAATGAAGATAATTTATCGGAAAACAATTGTAATGCGTGTGTGTGTATGTGTGTGAAAGAAAAATCCATCATACTCTTGTCAAATCTTAAGTTTATAATAATTATTGCTTGAAACCTGTTTCAACTGAGATTATTAAATTATGAGATTATCAGATTAGAATGCGAAATCCTTCAGTTGAATCGTGACTACAAATATAACGTTGCATACATTTTTTAACTGAAAATCTCAGGTCTAACTCTGTAATTAAGATTCGAGCATCTTACGCGAGGCAAATTCCAAGTAACGACTACTAATACGAGTCTTAGGCTTTTCAATTTAACAAAGAGAGACCGATGAAATGTAGATGATTCATCTGAAAATAATTGTGTAATGTATGTGTGCGTGTAATAAGGCAGATATTCCTTCAAAAATCTCGGTGTTCCGTGAACTTCTACGAAACGGACACCAAACGTTACGGCAGAAATTGCGTCTGTCAACCGCGGACACATAACTCTCGGCACGCAACGCAGGTGCATAGTCACCTTATTAATTATCCTCGTTCTTCCTTGTGACGAATTAACCGTGATCTCGCGATTGGCACGCGGCGCCGTCGGCAACGATCGTTTCTGCCTGGGACTTTCACGGAGCGCTGGAGATCGGCGTTTAGCCTTTTTATTTCGCCTAATCCACATGTGCAAGGCGCGTGGCACACGTGACTCGAGCATCTCAACATTAATAACAACACACACGTACAGGGTACCCCGCGACCTTGATTCTAACGACAGATCCTCCGACCAAATGGGCTTCTCCTCGGCGAAATCACTCGTCATACACTGAAAAAAAAAGTTTACCAACCTTATATTCGAGTATAATTAAAGAAATTATTCTCTCTCGAAACGTATTCTCGTTATCCAATTTCTCTGCTCGAGGTTGCAGATTGCGACATGTATCCCGTGTGTGTATGTCTGGATGTGGATGTATGCGTGATCCTGAGAAAAAAGTACCGAAATTCTAAAAGTGGAATAACACAATCCCGAACAGTCACAATCTGAGTACAGATACAATCTCACGAAATATTGAAATCATGAACTTGTCAACGATTTATTATGCAATTTTGTGAAACAACCTCATACTTCCAGTATTTCAGAAAATTGTCCCTATACTCAGTTTTCGGGATTGTGACTGTTCGGGACGTTGACCCGCTTTTTAAACTTCGGAATTTTGTTTTTCCGGGACTAGACATGTCTACCGTCGTGCTAGAGCGATGCGGATCGCGTGCTGAAGGATCCTGCATAGCGTGAGTCGAGCACACGAGGCATATCACGAATCGCCGAAGGAATTCGCGACGTACATTTCTTCATTGTCCCGTGCAATTCGAGATAACACGGCACTGCTGTGTGTGACGCGGTGTATTGCGCAATCGCCAATTGAAAAACGTCTCGAGGGGACAGGTGAACATTGCATAAGAAACGCGTGCGATAAATAATAGTGTGCGGAAATCTCCAATGTTTCTCTGCTATTGTCCGAGCGATGACGCGGCTGTAAAAGATGCGATTAGATTTCGCCTCCAGACGAAGAGAGAGAAAAAGAGAAAGAAAGAGCAACTCTGTCAGTTGGCTGTCAGTCTTATCTTGACAACGTCAAACATATCTGAAACGAACAAGTGCAACGATATTGTTCTTGATACCGCGGAGATCGTGGAGATACGACACGAGATTTCGTTTCAATCGGGAGAATGTAATTATCCGCCACCTGGACGCGAGTAAACCTTGTCAATTACAGAATTCCGACCGCGTGTTATCCGCGAAATGCCCGCGTGGGTGGAAATCGCTCTAAACTAGCTCCCTGGTTCAAGGGAGTAATGTGAAGTCGTAGGACAGAGTCGATGATCGCAGAAGCGGGAATAGGTCAATTAAAGTGGATGTGCTTCGATGTTTTGGGCGCAGCTACATTTCCTCGATCGAGAAAATATCGAGAAGATATCCTTCTCGCGATCCTTCCTCTCGCGACTTATTCTCGCGAGAGTGAAAGGTTTCACGTGAAAATTTAGATAAAGTTCCGAAAAACACTCACCTCCGATTTTTTTTAACTCAGTATTCCTACGTATATTGACGCACTGATTACGAATATCATAGTGAAAATTAGCGACTACTTGATTTTCATGGTGAAAACCATGAAAAATCCATAAAAATTATGGTTTTTTACGTTTATCTTAGTAAATACGGAAAATCATGATAAATATTTTAAACAAAAGTTTTAGATCTCACTGAGATAAACATTTTAGGTCCTATACATTTTCACCGTACGATTTCGACCCGTACGAATAATAGTTCTCGAGAAAATCGAGTATAAAGACCGTAACAGCGTTGTTACTAGATTTCGGTGAACCCCTTCTGCGGGTTATTTCGCCATGTAGACAGTATATTTCCCCCGAATCGTAGCGAAAAGAAATAAAGGAAAGAGGACTTACAATTATGAAAGAACTCTAACAACTTTTTTTAAGAATATTTTTAATATTTTTAACATTTGCAACATGGGAAAAATATCGAACGAATAGCGGGGGGCTGCGCCCCCCGCATCCCCTCTAAAAACTAATCTACCTATCGTCACATTAGCTGTCGGTCATTGTTTATTAATAAGTTATTAAGAAAAAAAGTTAAACACTTTTTAACCGCAACGACGATAGATGTTAACGCTGTTACTGTCTTTATACTCCATTTCCTCGAAAACTATTATTCGTACGGTGAAAATATATACAACCTAAAATGTTTATCTCTATAAGATCTAAAGCTTTTGTCTAAAACATTTATCATGATTTTTCGTATTTACTGAGATAAACGTAAAAAACTATAATTTTTATGAGTTTTTCATGGTTTTTACCATGAAAATCAAGTAGTCGCCAATTTTCACTATAATATTCGTAATCAGCGCGTCAAAATACGTAAGAATACTGAATTTCAAAAAAATCGGGGGTGAGTACCTTTCGGAACTACACCCGAAAATTTTCACATTTTCATCGTACGAGTAGTTGCACGATTGCAAAAGTCGTCGAGTTCACGTGAGGCTTTTCACGTTTTTGCTTTCCAGAAAAAGTTACATGATCGTTATCTTGATCCTTGCCTTTTTTTGTTAGATGGCACGAACGGGACGACGGCGCCGGTGACGCAAAATGCGGCGCAAACGGATCACCCGGCCGACTCCGACAATGTCAGCGTCGGCAGTGGCAACTCGAATCTCAGTACGGGTGCGCTTCAGGTAGGAGGATCGTGTCAACGTAAACATCTGCCTTGTTAACGAGAAGCAAAGAGCGATGCACGAGGCAAATACAGCGTTTCATGAGCTTTTTTGCCAGTATTCGTCGTTGAACGACTCTGCATGTGTCGCTTGGTTTCTGTCTGTCGTTTTCTGTTATTATTTCAATCGATTTGCCTAAGATAGAGATGTGCGAACCAAAGATTTTTAATGTCGAATCGAATCAAACCATTAGAAGAATTTTAATTAACATAATCATTGAATTCAACATGGAAATAATGATTTCAGTATGAGAGAGATAACATTGATCGTGTGATATCAATTCCTTTTAAGGTAAGAGATATATGATATATTAGTCGGTAAACGTGTATGGACACAGTTTAATACACAGTTTTCCAGCCTTGAAAGCTGCACAACGGCATATATCGATCCGATAGTTGTCGGTAAGGGTCTTTGTAGAAAAATTTTAGTCTTTGCCTTTGTAGAAAAATTTTAACCGCAACCGTAAGGTCGTAAGAAAACTGACCAATCACAGTCAATTATTCCTCGAACGCAAGGAGAATAATTAACTCTGATTGATTGATGGTCAGTTTTCTTACGACCTTACGATTACGGTTAAAATTTTTCTACGTGCAAAGGCCCTAAGAGTTTATCTAGAAGCTATTATCTTCTTTTAATATTTTTGAAGAAAATCTTAATATATAGCAAACTTTTCAAATCATGCTAATTCCTGTAAAGCTGGATGTCTAATAGTTCTTCGTTAATACTAATATGCGCGATCTGTATTTGAATCTTTTCGATTCGAAATTTTCGAATTATTCAGATTTGAATCGAATCGAATTTCACTTGATTTGATTCGATTCGGATTCGAATAGTTCGCATATCTCTACTAGATGAGTACAGCAAGCTTTAAACTATTAGAATAGAGATAAGCGTTGCAGTGCCACTTGGCAAGACAGAGGAAAGAACTGACGGATAAAGGTGCGTTTTGTGCACATTGCAGAATATCAGGGAGCAAATGGCAGCGTCTCTGGAAAGAATGAGAGAGCTGGAGGAACAGGTCAAGGCGATTCCCATGCTGCAGGTAAGTTCCCACTAATTTCGTATCCCTCCTACACTTTCGTAACGTTCATCGCCCCGGCGCGTAATTTGCACCCAGGCCGAGCTCTTCTTCCGTTCTAGCGCGAAACGCGCTTGGATAGAAGATACTCTCTCACTGCTTTATCGCGATCCGTTTGTTGCCATCGCGAGGATACCTTATTATACGCCAACAACGCGAGGTAATGAAGCAATTTTCATTTATATTCGAGAAGATGCAGCGGGCTCGCTAAACTTGTAATTAGCTCAGCGTAAAAAACACAACGGATCTCTGAGGGGAAGCACCGATTGTTTTGCACAATCGGCTCGCGATCTTGCTCCCTCCATCTTCATCTTTTCTCTTTTCCTTTTCTTTGTCGGTTCTGCAAATTGATGAACAACGATACGATATCGTCGATTTGCTGCTCTCCTGAAGACGCCAAACGTCACTCGTGCCTTGTTTTCCTTACACTCGCGGTCTTATCAGTTTAGATAATAGCGCTATTGTCTATTAGCCACGACGCTATTGCCGTCTTATACGCGATTCCGTGACGCAAACGTCCGCTAACTTCTCTATTTCTCCCTCGCAGGTGCAAGTCTCGGTATTGAAAGAAGAGAAGCGCAATCTCCTGCGACAAGTGGACGAGCTGAGCAAAACGAATTCCTGCAACAACACCTTGCACAGGCATCGCAGCCAGTCGTTCTCGGAGCAGCGCGCCGCTCTGCGAAACCTGAAGAACTCCGGCGCGTCCACCAAGAACATAGGAACCATGTGCAGCGTGATGACGAGGGACGTCGGAGTCTCGCACCAGCAGGTAAACGAGTCTGCAATGCAATTCGCGTGGCTTTACATCTAGATCTAATTAGATTCGTCTAGATAACGGCGAGTAATGCATAGGAGCGCGCACTTTCATAATTGATATCATCTACGTTCGTTAAATCGAACTACAATCGAAAGCCCCTCCGCCTTTCTTCTTTTTGATGTAAAAAGGAGGTAGAGAGGACCTCTCCTTTCGATGTAAAGAGGAGATGAGTCCAATTAATTGAGGGGAAATCAGATTCATCGCCCACTTAATAACACAACAAGCCTCCAGGAGATATTTCTTACGCGTTCCTTCCCCCCTCGGTCTCTTTGTCCGTCGTTCCGGCGCATAATTTTTCCGGACGCGCGGTTCCCCAGCCGGTAGTTAAAGACCAGCCTCGTGAATTTATCTGATCGATTTTTGCATGCACTCAGAAGTGAGTAGCGATCGCCGCCAGTTACACGTGGAAGTGAAAATCGGAACTTGAATGGCGATACACGCGGTTTCGCCGGCGCGTATCTCCGCGCGCGACTCTGCGTCTTTTCTCACCGCGTCGCCCGCGCGCGCAGGAAAACGTGCTCTTCCGCGCTGTATATAATCCGCGTAAATATTGGTAAGCCGAGATCCCTCGCGATCGAAGAGTGGAAACGCATGTATGCCGCCAATTGCGATATGTTCATGCTGCTGAGTACCATGTTGCGTTTCTTGCTGAAACTTCCTAGATACGTCGTCGGCAACATAATCTGTTCGGTATGCAACGGTTCGCAAAAACATAATTCGCTTTCAATAGTCTCTCCATTACGTGTAAGAAAAAATCGACGCCGTCGCATTACGCATAATCGGGGAATTTCTAACCGCAGTTTATCAAAGCGTCAAACGACGATGAAATTCAGCCGACGAGCTGTTCAAATTCACGAAGCTTTTCGAGTCCTTTTACAAAAGTAATTTTTGCGAGCTAATCGAGCAATTAATTCACAGTATAATTCAACCGTATAATTGTGCGCGCAGAATACACGATTTTAACGATGGACTATCCTGTCGTGAGCAGGTTCGAACGAGAGACGTCGGTATGGTGACGAGCACACCGATCAAGCCGCTGCTGCAGAAGAGCCGGCTGCAAATTCAGGAGATCCTGCCCGACATCCAAGACCAGAGCACCGTGTTACTGCTGGAGGATGAGACTCCACTGAATCTATCGAAGCTCTGCTCGAACTCGAGCTTGACACGCGATCAAGCGACGCCAGAAGCGAGGAAGAAACATCTGACGAGGACTCCGCTCCAAGTGGAATCGATATCGCCCAACGAGAACGATCTAATCGACCGTAAAATGACGAAAAAAACGCGAGACTCAGGCACCAACACGGAGAATAGAGCCAGGACTCTTCAATGCAGTCACTTCCTGATCGAGGACATTGCACCGGAAAGCAAGAGGGAGATCAAGAAGCGTTCGTGCGGGACAACGACGCGCATGACGATGAGGGACATGCTGACGAGCGAAGAGGCGTCAGCGATCGTGGAAAACGCACTAAGGGTCTACAAGCGTAGCCTCGTAAGAGATATGTCCTCCAAGAGCACCCAATGCACCCCGGAGCCGCCCAAGGTTGTCGAAAAACGAGATCAAATGGTCCAAGTGGCCGAACTGTTGAAAATGCGCTCGCACGTGAGCGTGACCGCCAAACCGAGGACGGCGGAGGCCGGAGTCGAGGTCAGACTCAGTCCTAACACCAGGACCGTGTGCGTCGGCCCTGATCCCGTTGCGATGTTGCAGCCGGTGTCGTTGAACTCGATGAACTCGAGGAGTCACTCGTTCAACTACGGCGACACCCGGACCAAGAGCAGAAGCAGCAGATCGGTGGCCGTGATGGTGGACGATCTAGTGAAGACTGTCGCGCGCGGTACCGACACGTCCGGTCTCGCGCCGAGGTGCCGTGAGTTCGGCACCTCGCCGCTGAAGAAGAAGCTCGTCGACGTGTCGGTGGGTGACTCGGTCAGGCCGCACATCTCGATCTCCTGCGCGGCGAATTACTGCGACAACTGCAAGGAGACGATCAAGAGCCTGGCCAAGCAAATCGCGAACAACGCGGAGAACAGCCTGAATCATCAGAACAGCAGCCTAGTGTCCAGAATCCCCAGGCCGTCTCACATCTCTCTGAACTCCGGCGATCACAAGAAGCAGTTCAAACGGCAGGACACGTACACGAAGATACCGGCCGCCGGTGTGATCAGATATGACGCGGATAACAAAGAGCAATACGACAACAGCAATCGGTTAGTAACTGCGCGATTCTACCTTATTCATTTTATGCTTGTTGGATAAATAAAGTAGAAAATATCAGTGACTTCCTTGCAAAGAATCGTCGTCGCCGTCGTCGTCAATAGCGAAACTGTTTCAAAGTATCACACTTGCTCTGTTCTACAAACTCACTCTTGTTTCCCACGCTTGCCTAATCATCAGCATCTGGTTATCATCCCCCGAGCCTCTCTCAGCATTGTGAATCGACAAATAACACGGTTTACCGGTCGAAAAACCGAGCCACTCTTCCCGCTCGATTATATTCCGCGCCATCTGCCATTTCCGCGGTCGAAGGTCGGCCTGGGGGTTGTCCCTAGATATAGAGGGTGCGAACGAGGGGTTGCGAGCCCGGCAGGGCCGCGTATGACGCACAGTTCGCGCCGGCCGTGCGCGCAGGTTGCAGTTTTGTTGTCCTTTTCCGAGTCCATGGTTGCGCGCGTGTCGCCGAGCGCGTCATCGAGGCTCTCTTGTATAACCACAACAACGACGACGACGACGACGACAGCCGCGTAAATATATCGTGACGGGAGTCGGATGTCGGTGGTGCGCGTCGGTGCGTCTCGCGTCGTTGACAGTCTTGCTATGGTGAACGAGTGAGCGCGTCCTCGATCGTCGGCAGATCGATGCTGCAGCAGCAACAGCAGCAGCAACAGCCGTCGCCGCAACGCGCCGCTTGTTTAGTCAACAATCCCGAAGCCGCTGATATCCCGCCTTATCCGGCCGCGGAAGGGTATAACGTCTTTTCCCATCATAGTCTAAGATTACACTCAAAACGCCTTATCGACTCCGGCATTGACCTCTTCTCGATTATATTCCCGCTTATTTTTGGCGACCTGACGTCATATTGACATTTACCAGCAATACGCTTGGAATAGCTCGTTAATTAATATTAACGCCATTCAGATAGGTGATCAATGCTGCGATGGAGTTTCAGAAGTGTCCGAGACCTGAAGGATTTCAAATCTCAAAGACTTGAAAGTCTCTGAGATTTGGAAGCCTCTGCTTGAAATCCAATTCTCGGTTTCAGTTCAAATCATGGCTGAGTTTGTTGTCTCTGACTCTAGGATTCAACAACTGCAATCCGAGAAGAGCAAGAATGAGAAAACTACGTCAGAGGAGACGCGTAATGTGGAAAAGGAGGCGGATTGCGAGGAGAAGCCCGAGCTGCCCGAGTCAGCGCTGTTCCAGCCAATTCAAGACAAACCAAGGAAGAAGGTCGAGCCTTCCAAGGAGATGCAGGCCGCCATGAAGGTGCTCAACGACAGCCTCAAGAAGTCGCCCAGCAGGAATATCTCTCATCAGCTGAAGAATGCCACCAACATCATACAGCAGGAGTGGTTCAAGATCTCCAGTACGTCCAACGCGATCCCGCTGGACGTTGAGGATTATTTAGATTGCTTCGAGGAGTGCTCTGGCACTCTGCTGGAATATATCGTCAATATGACAGACACCAGTGGAAACACGGCGATGCACTACGCGGTCTCTCACGGTAACTTCGACGTGGTGTCCATATTATTGGACTCGAAGGTCTGCGACATCAACAAGGCGAACGTGGCCGGTTACACGGCCGTGATGTTGGCTGCGTTGGCGGAAGTCAGGAATTCCACGCACGCCTCCGTAGCGAACAGGCTGTTTCAGCTTGCCGATGTCAACATCCGCGCGAAACTGGTAACACTTATTTCATATTATATCCTCTAATGTACATCAAAAGAACGCTGGATACTGATCCAATGCAGTTTCGTATAGTCTGCATTGATTTCCAATTGGTTTCATGGAATTGCAAATGCTTTTACAGAGTGAAAACATTGATTCTGATACAATATTTGATATCTTTCCATACATTGACATTTGTACTTTCACCCTGCAAAAACATTCGCGATTCTGTGCAACCAAACAGAGAAAAACAAACTACGAAACTGCATCATGTCGGTATTTTCTTAAGGTTCTACGTACCTTAAGATGCACCAATTCTTAGACGTGTTCTAACGTTCCTCGAATTTTTCTCCGACAGCACGGACAAACGGCGCTGATGCTAGCGGTGTCGCACGGACGCAAAGACATGACGCAGCTGCTTCTGGATGCCGGCGCGGCGGTTAATATCCAAGACGAGGACGGTAGCACCGCTTTGATGTGCGCCGCGGAACACGGCCACGCCGACATCGTGCGGCTGCTGCTCGCACATCCAGACTGCGACTCGTCTATCGTCGACGTGGACGGCAGCTCGGCCCTAAAGATCGCTCTGGAGGCGGGCAACCGGGACATCGGCGTGTTGCTGTACGCACACGAGCACGTGAATCGCGGCACTAGTCCGTACTCGACCCTGAGGCGAAGCAGGAGAGGCTCCAAGCCGACGACGCCCACTGGACCGTCCCCGTCGGCTCCGGTCAGCCCGGCGCCGTCGCGGCGCATTCACTCGTCCAACGCTCCTCTGAACACATCGAAGTATTCCAAATAACTCCGCGACGCGCGTATCCACGAGCTTTCCTTTCACGCACCGTTTCAGACCGTAACAGTTAATAATCGGAAGGCGGATCCTCTTGCATTTATATATAACCTTTCCTTCGTATGATCTTTTTTATATTCTCCTATAAATCACGGTGGATACATATACGTGTACACACGTATTTTCATATCAGTCATCAGTGATAGACACGTACGACGATGCGTTTTCAAGTCTTCTTGCCTAACGATCGATTCGTCTCGATAGGGATTGTACTGCTGTATTATTTAAGGAAGATCGAGAACGATGCTCAACACTGTATATACATATATCCTGTTCGGGGTAACGTTGGAGGAAATCTTCTAGTTTAGTTCGTAGCGGAGTCGCATCTTTGGCAATAACACAGCTCGTCGCGGATTCTGAGAGATTCTCGACTGTCGCGCGAGTCTTCTTTCTGTCCCTTGTAAATTTTATACGATCCCACATGGCAATCTCGACTGCGTAGCGCGCACACGCTGGGAGAACGGAATATCTCCTCTTAGACGAAGTGTGTGAAAGTACAAAATATTCGCAAACGTCGTCGGCACGATCCGCAAACTCGATCGACTTCTGTGGTTCTTTTTTTTTCTTTCTCTCTGCTCGTTCTGCGGATCAAACATTCCAATCACACGCGAATCGATCGACGAACCGAATTTCCTGTGGCAGACATTATTTCACGCATACACGCATACAATAGAGCGTGCACAGATTATATGGGCCTAATCTCGACTAAATGAACGCTCCTTGGGATCAAATCGTCAATAGTGTTAATCGTGTAACGACGTGCGTAGAGAGACGCGATCACGTCTTAATAAGTAGCGACACGTATAATAAGCTTGGCGGCGTGCGAGATCAACGAACGGACGGTGCTGATCTCGCGGTGATTTCACGACATCAAACGTACTTATCATTGTTCTACGTTGAGATAGAGAGATGTTAGTTAATCGATAGTGTATAGATATAGTATTCGCGAGAGAAAGAGAGAGAAGTGCGATTAGAGTATGAACGCGTTGACGAAGGGCTTCACCAGAGGAATTATGTTTTTAAAACTTGTTGAAGGTTTTCATATCGAGAACTTTATATATCGCGATACTATCGAGATGTTAACGTACGTTTATTTAGAGCCGATGTTAGGAATTGCGTCTCCTTCTCCGTTCATGCGCGAAAGGAAAAGGAGAAGGAAACGATTATGCGCGCAAACACACACATATTGATACGTTTTTTCTTATAGGGTTGTGAATATAGAGATAGCTGTAATTATATAAATTATTTAAGTTCGAGAGATCAAAGATCTAGGTATTAACGTTAGTTAATGTAAGTGTTTCTCCTGTCTGTGTGAGTGATTCTACGAACGAGATTGTTAGCGCGAGAGACGATTATATCTGTATATCGAACGTAGAAGGAAAACTTACGAAATATACACACGCACACACGTACACTGATTGTCTCTGAGTAAGAGTCTAGAAAGTAGCGAAGTACTTCTTATTGTTTGTGCCTTTATATTTAACATATTCCTCACTCGATAATAAAACGAGACATGATTCTAAATATCCTCTATCCCCATCTGTCTAATAATTCATATAAGAGAGATGTTTCGTATAAAAGAGAGTTTCATAAAATAAAAAAGATATCTAAGTTGACTGAGATTCTTCGATGGATTGTTTATTGTCGCCAACCTGATAATGTCGCATGCGTTATTTTTCTTCCATGCAACTTTCCACGAGGATATAAATTTATCATGTTCCTCCACTCTTGACATTTAAGTGCTCGGCTACCATTTAAGTCTTACCTCCTGTCATGCCTTAACCTAACATAACCTAACCTAATCTAACAGAATCTTCGATCGTGGACTTTCAATTACACGTCATTACATGTGTGACGTTGACGTTTGTTAACATACATTATTATTGTATTGTTTTTTGTATTATCTCGGATTCTCAGTTTCTCTTAGATGATTGGTGATAACGGATATCCCATTCGTCATAAAATTCGGAACGTATTCTTTTAATAAAACGTCCAGATGTCTCGTACGTTTCAGGTTATATTTATACAGACTTGAATATTTTCTAACAGTCAAATCTCGTTGATATTTTATACAGTTAATTCGCGTTAATTTTTGTAACGATTTTTGAAACGATGTTTGTATTTTAATTGAATTATATCAAGTTATATAATTCTGACGATGTATTAATTTATTATGGCTGTTTAATTAAATGTGATTAACTGAAGTGAGTTATGTTATTCTGAGTACAATTACTTAAAAAAAAGGCTACATATTAAAATAACTACATTGTATATTTTTTTCAGACAGGACAAAGTAAGATAATTCACAAAGTTGCAAGGTGTTTCACCAAGCAATAATTTTTCATCTCACCTGTTTGGTTGCTAAGTCGTCAAGATTGCGAACAAAATGCGGAGATCTCACTCTGGTTGGTATGATTGCATTGACAATGTATTGGAGTTCTTATTTTATTTTATATACAAGCTTTACCTTTGTAGGTGGTTATGGCTATGAGCCATTACCAAGTACATCTACCCACAATGCTATGGAAGATGAGAACGAGAGGATAACTGAAGAGCTGAGAGATAAGATTCATGCTTTAAAGTCATTGTCCATTGACATTGGCACCGAAGTAAAATATCAAGACAAAATGCTGAGATCTATAGTTAGTGAATCAAATTCTCAAAAATATATTTATCAAGTCTTAAAGTATTATCTGTATTCTAAGAAATAATGTACATTTATTTTAGGATGATGATTTCGAAAGAACAGGTGGTTTCTTGTCCAATTCAGTGTCACGTGTTTTACGTCTGGCAAAAGCAGGACACAACTATTATATTCTATATCTATTTCTATTTTCCATAGCAGTGTTCTTCGTGCTGTGGATAGTTTTGAAGTTTAAATAATTGTACCTAAGATTTATGACTATATGAAAGTGTATATAATACGTAACTAAGATAAAGATACGAATATATTGTAATATTATATAGATATGGACAGACAGAAAAGGAGAGAGTTTAGATCTTTTGTATTATTTCACTGTGATGGTGACAAATAATAGGAAAATCCATTCACATCATACTCATTCAAATGATTTTCAGACATGTGTTATTATATCACTTTTAAGAAAATATATTTGTTCATGATCTAAAAAATGATATTTTGAAAATCAGCATTTATTCTATAAATATGACATATTAAAATGATTCTGAAATGCACTATTATTACTTTGTCACTTGTACTATTAATAAATAGAATTTATATAATCTATCTTTACATCGTATACTTGAAAGTAAATATCCTCTCAACCTGCTATTGAGTCGTGTAATTTATCCTTAAAAAAGTACATTTGCTCATCATTGAGTTGCAATTATTAAGACATAAAGATTGAGTTATATTACTTCAAAAATTAAAAATCTCGGCCCTATAATTGAGTCATACTACGACCTCATTTCGTCATATAGTGGTGACCACATAGTTTACTCGATTGGGAGATTGTGAATGAAATATAACTTCATATTACATATATATTGTAATAATAATGATTGAATAGAAGTACAAGCAGAAAAACTTTTGATCAACGATGCGTTTGAATTTGACTGTTCGAACATCCGCGTTTACGATTGGCTAATCATTGGTTGCGTTTAGCAGAGAAAGCTGCTTTGCAACTGTTGTAAAATTCGTGAATGGATTCTGATTGGAGTATGCTTTTAATTTTGGTTAAATCCAAAAGCATATACCAATCAGATTTACGAATTTTACACAGTTGCAAAGCAGTTTTCTCTGCTGAACGCAGTCATTCCTTTTCAGTCTATGGTCATAGGCTGCGTTCCGAAATTTATTGCCAATCATAGATGTCTATACTAAGAGCCGTGACACACAGAAAAACTTAAGCAGTAAGACGTAAGCAGTAAGCAAATTGACCAATCACAGTCGTTAATTCTTCTTACGGTCCAACAATCAACAACTGTGATTGGCTGATTCGCTTACTGCTTACGTCTTACTGCTTAAGTTTTTCTATGTGCCACCAGCTTAAACTATGGTCTGTTCTTTTCAGCTGCACTGCTGAACTGGTGCAATAAGTTAGAGCGAATATTGTATAAATTTGTGTGTTAAGATTTTCCTGTTGCCGAGTGTACGTAGACTAGTTGTAGGTTCAGATCTGAACTTCTTTTTTGCCAATGACTAATTGCTTTCAAATACACAAAATATGCGTATAACTGCACAGCTTTCATCGTCAACGTCCATACCGCGCTTAAAATACCAGTTCTCGTCTGATCACTGAAGTCAAGCAGCGCTGGGCACGGTTAGTACTTGGATGGGTGACCGCCTGGGAACACCGTGTGATGTTGGCATAATTTTTTTTTATTTCAAAGATTAAAATATTTCGAAAATATCGTTATGTCGTTTTATTTAATATCTTGATATTAAATAAAACGACATAACGATATTTTTCGTAACACAAATGTGAACAAATGTGCTTTAATTAAATAATAAAGGAATTAAGAATTATTAATAAATCATAATTTTTATAATGGGATACAAGGTTTTCTTTTTTCGAAATATTTTAATCTTTGAAATAAAAAAAAAATTGTGCCAACATCACACGGTGTTCCCAGGCGGCACCCATCCAAGTACTAACCGTGCCCAGCGCTGCTTGACTTCAGTGATCAGACGAGAACTGGTATTTTAAGCGCGGTATGGACGTTGACGATGAAATCTGTGCAGTTATACGCATATTTTGCGTATTTGAAAGCAATTAGTCATTGACAAAAAAAAAGTTCAGATCTGAACCTACAACTAGCCTACGTACACTCGGCAACAGGAAAATCTTAACACACAAATTTATACAATATTCGCTCTAACTTATTGCACCAGTTCAACAGTGCAGCTGAAAAGAACAGATCATAGGAATTTTTTTAAGTTTCATTTATTTATCAATAATTATTTTTTTATTTAAAATACCCGTACATTTCCATATCTGATAAAATGTATGCAGAAGTATCGAAAACAGACCGAGTGCTGAGTAATAAACGTTTTCCTCATATATAAAAGTTATGTGTGCTTTGTGTGTGTGTGATGTGTATATATATATATTGTACGTCCGGACTTATTTTGAAACATTAATAATATATTAATATAGATTATAATATAGATCGGAGGCCGACTTGTCTGATTTCAGACATTACTAGATATTTTATACTTATGTTACTAGACGTAAGTACGTGCGCATATGTATATTCGCGCACGTTAAATATTATAATTAAAATTATAACGCTGAACACTGCGTGTCGTTAGAAAGTCTTAAAATCGATGGATCAACTGTAGACAAGAACTGTAGATGAATCTCTTCCATCTCCACGACTCCATCAGCCAATCAGGAAACGACTCTCAGCGACAAAGCGACATATAAAAACGCGCGCATTTGTTGAGAAGGCGATTATTTCTTCTCATAATTAGTCTCTGGTAATTCTCGTGTACTTATTTGGAATATATTTGGTTAGTCGTAAAATCCGACCGTCTTGCAATTACTTTTGCCTACCCTTCATTTTTCGAACGTTGCGAAATCGAAATTCGGAATCGCGAGCCGCATCATCCCGCGCAACGCCGGAACATCCGAGACCGAGCCAGGAGAACGAGCAGCGCTGATTTCTCGTCAGATTCATCGATCGTTTCGCCAGACTCCGGAGACCCAGGGTAAACTCGGTGAAAAGCAGAGTGACCCAAAAGCGGAGTCATCACTCTGTTGACCGTCCACGTAAGTCACTGATTTCACTACTTTCAAATTTCCCTATATAGTTATTTATCGTGGACGTAACAATATATATATATATATATACATATATATATATAGCATTAAATATTTATTAGTAGGCACTCGATTTGTTTCTTATACTATTAGGGCACTCGATTTGTTTTTTATACTATTAGGTGCGTTCCCACTTAAGGCGTCACGCGTCGCGTCGTCTTTCGCGGACCAATCAAATCGTCCCATTTTATTCGTCGTAAAGTTATGGCTCCTGCACACAGGTAATGCTTGCCGCGCGGCGGAAGTCCGCGCGACAGCCAATCAATATGTTGTTTTTCCGTAAGAGCTAGAAGGTTATTACGGAAAGCAGCATATTGATTGGCTGTCGCGCGAACTTCCGCCGCGCGGCAAGCATTACCGTGTCCTGTGTGCAGAAGCCATCAATGAACTGGAACTTTCGGCTTCTCACTATTAGGCCGCTACTATCGGCAACTGTCGCTAGGATGTTTCCAGACCGAAGGAGCTGGGTATGTCGCCACAGTGGCTAAAAGACAGGAGCATCCCGATTGATCACGGTACGATTGGACAACCAACCGATGCAAAGAATTATCTAGTGAATTACCAGGTCGAACCAATCATTACAATCTGTGTCCAATCGTATCGTGGTCAATCGGGTCCCACCTAAGGGTACGTTCAGATTCCCTACCCGGGTGCACTCTAATCTAGAAGTGCTATAGTATATGTGACATATACTATAGTGTTTCTAGTAATAGAGTGCATCCGGGTAGGGAATCTGAACGCACCCTAAAAGACAAATACATCACGTCCAAAGATAAATACACAAAGTGTGTATAGATGGCATGCTTACCCACTTACATTCAAAATGTTCTCCTTTCGTGTACTCGTTGAAGGTAAACACGTGGAGTATCAGATTGGCTCAAGGAGTTAGAAAGAAGAATAATTTTCAACGTTTTTGTAGCTTTAAATAGACTAGACAATGAAGTTGAAAAATTTGCGAAAGAATCCTTTTGCTCGGCTTAAAGAGATAAAGGACGAGACAAATGAAGAAACTGAGGATCAAGAACCCGGTACTTCGATGGGCAATAAGTTGGAGGTTATATTGCCTTCCGAAAGTAACTTTAATCACATCAAATGTAAAGCTGTGAGGCAAGAGAAATGTCATAAATTGATGAAGGAAAAGGCAAAGGCGAAAAAGGAAGCGAAAAAAGCGAGGATACAAGAAGGCGGTCCAAAACAAGTGCCACACACTATAGAGAGTTTACGAGAGAAGGACGAGACTACAATCGTAGGCGATCTGGAAGATGAAACTAATCTGGAGCTCAAAATCGAGTGTCAGAACGACGAATTCGCTGCATATTATCGGAAAGATTACGAGCCTAAAGTCCTTATTACTTATGCTGATAATCCCAACAGGAAAACAAGGATCTTTGGCAGAGAGCTTACAAGAATAGTGCCGAACTCTATTTCGCTGTACAGAAATCGTTCTGGTGTTAAAAAGATGGTAAAGAGTGCCATCGCCAGGAATTTTACAGACATAATAATTGTCAACGAAGATCAGTGCAAGCCTAGTATCCTTTTTATAGAATATTGTTGTTTAATAATAATATATATGTATATATTGTCTGAAGTATTGGTTATTTTCCAGGAGCTAGAAAGCTTTCATTTACTGCAATTAAATATTCTTTCCTTATACAATTATCAGATGGGATGTTGGTGATACATCTTCCAGAAGGTCCCACTGCATATTTCAAACTTAGTAATGTCAAGATCACAACAGATCTAAAGCGTAGTCACAAAGAGATTACGGAACACAGGCCAGAAGTTATTCTAAATAATTTCACCACACGTCTAGGTTTTACTATTGGCAGAATGCTTGGAGCATTGTTTCATTATCAACCAGAGTTTAAAGGAAGAAGAGCTGTAACATTCCACAATCAGAGAGACTATATATTTTTCAGGCATCATAGGTAGACTGCATTATTCTCTTTTTTTATGTCTCACAGTAAATTTATACCTTAATTTAATATCAATAATTGTGTAGATACGAATTTAATTTAAAAACTGGGAAGCCAAGATTGCGTGAACTGGGTCCACGATTCACTCTGAGATTAAAATCACTGCAACATGGGACCTTTGACAGTAAAAATGGCGATTACGAGTGGATCATACAAGGCCGCAGACATGATATGGAAACTAGTAGAAGAAAGTTTTTCTTATAATTTCAATATATTAGAATTATGTCCAGTTGGAGAAGATTTTCTATGATGAAGGAAGATTAAACAGTCGTGTTTGTATAAACGTACAAAGAAACTCTATTATCTCTATTATACAAAAATATATATTAAGTATATATTATGTCTCGTAATGCTTGTAAAACCAAAAAAAATACTTTATCAGTCTGTTCAACTGGAAAGCAGCACATGTTAATTAATAATGTGGTTTGAAATTTGTAAAACAAACATTTGTTCTTTTCAAAACGTAAGCTATTACTTGAAGACCACCTATCTTTACACTAATAGTTCTTGTTAGTTGAAACATATCACCTGCTGCTTTCAAAGCCTGAAATAAAACAGAATTCATTTTAAAATTGTGATATTTAATTTATTTTTTAAATATAAACTTTACATGACTCGCTATTTTAGTTTTAACAAAATATTTTATACAGCTTAATTTAAATTGTATTTCATCTCTTTTGGTCAAGTTAATCAAAAGTTACTCGATCAAAAACTTACTTGAGTAAAGCTCTTTCTATCATAGGTGAGTAGAACTAATCGTCCAGACGATAACTTTACGACACGACCTAGTTCCAACAAAACCTGTTTGTAAAGACACTCGTTATCTGACTTCTTTCCACTTCTCTTGCCGAAAGGCTGCAGTATGCAAATGATTTTTGTTCAGACAAGTGAAAATACTTAAAAGCCGAGTGTAAAATGTCGAAAAATAGATTTTACCATGTCAGTAACAATGATATCAACGAAGGAATCTTTGAGTGGTAGCTTCAGAGCTATCCATTGTATGGGATTTATTTTAGCTTTAGTTAACGACGCATCTATATTGGACTTTGTTCTCTCCACAGCTTTGGAGTTTTTGTCGCCGCATAGAATGCACAAGTGCGAGAAAGCCAATGCTGCCTGAAATTTGCATGTAAAATTAGCATCCGGGAGCGATTTATTATCGTAAATACATAATACCTCTATAGGAATAGATCCACTTCCACACATAGGATCAATTACTATATCTCCCGGTTTAGGATTCGCCAGTCTTAACAGATTATAACATATTGTCGACCTGAGAGTCGTCGGACCGAAGCTTACAATATTCCTGCGGTGTTTGGACTCGTGCGTCACACGTAAGAGTGTTATAAGTTGTCCTGAAAAATGTGAATATTTTATTAAGGTAATATCCATTGATGCAAGGTCTACCCATTTTAGAGTTGGACTCAGAAGTGCGTTTTCATCTCTATTCTAATCATATAATCAATTTTAGGATAAAGAATAATCGTACTTCCTGTCAATTTGCAGATAATTTCCAAGTGATATTTAGACAGATCCACCAGCCAGTGATATTTAGTCTGCAATTCCCCTCCGACAATACAGGCTACATCAGTGGACTCAAATGTGTGGTTACCACTCCTTTCACAAGTTACTCTATATCTAACTATATCACCTTCCTTTGACTCTGATGGGTCCACACCCCTTTTCCTACCCCTAGTTGTTTCTGATTCTTTTTCGTTCTCCTTTCTTTTATTCTTGTGTTTGTCCTTTTCTTCTTCCTTTTCTTTATCCTTGTCTTTGTCCTTTTCCTCTTCCTTTTTCTCTCCTTCTTGCTTTTCTTTTTTTTTGTCTTTTTCCTCTTCCTTTTTCTCTCCTTCTCCCTTTTCTTTGTCCTTTTTCTCTCCTTCTTCCTTTTCTTTGTCCTTTTTCTCTCCTTCTCCCTTTTCTTCCCTTTTTTCTTCTTTTTCCTTTTCTTTATTCTTTTCTTCTTCCTTTTTCTCTGCTTCTTCCTTTTCTTTGTGCTTTTCTTCTTCTTTTTTCTCTCCTTCCTTTTCTTTATCCTTTTCCTTTCCTTGCTCCTTTTCGTTTTCTTTAGTAACAGAAGCTTGCTCCTTGGCAGAGTTGTACTCTTCTAATGTTGGATACAGTTCTCCCATGAAGCATGTAACATGTTTCCATATATCAAGCCCTTTATTCAGCCTCATATGTTTGTGTACTACATCTTTGAACACTTGCAAATCATCTTCCTTGTTAGTTTGACAAAACTGGACAAACCGAATATCAGCTACTATGAATACATTGTCTATCGACCTCATTTCTTGAACCTACACAACACATGTGTGTACACACAAGATGTAATTAACATTCAAGCACACAGGACACTGGAAAAAAAAGCAGAAAACACATCTAGCGTGAGAAGACATACTTTCTCATATTGGTCCCGATGTATGTTGAAATAGATCCTCCCGCGTTCTTTAAGCGCCTCCGAGCGATCGCTAATTTTCTCCCTGTGCTCGTCGATCGCCTGCCACTCCAAACCTGCATGATTTATTTTAGGTTATGTTTGATGGGGACTACATACATAGTTTCCTCTCTCTCTCTCTCACGAATAATTGCGTTACCTGTGTCTACAGTCGCACAGACCATGAAGACATCGTCGTTCATTAACGACTCCTCAAAGAGACTCTGTATCTTAAACATCTTGAGTCCACACCTCACAATATCACCGATCTACCGGCAAACCACTTCGAGCGCACACCATATACATATCTTATTGCGCATGACTCGCGGCGATCTCGATTCGAGCACTAGTCGCTCGCGCGCCATTAAACAATTCGAAGGAGAACAAAGCCTACGACTGATCTTTTCTCCTATAACAATCTCCACCTTTATAATTACTCTACTTTTGTCATATCGAAAGTTACCCGAGACTTCGTTCATTCTTGACGCGTACACGGATGTGTTATCAGAGAAAAAAGGGATAAAATTAAAAAGGAAAAGGTGAAGAGAGCATTTCTTGCGAGGAAAGTGAGCGTTCCCTATCGAGACATCTCGCATGTCTCACCGTGCGTTCGATAGATCGCCGAGCGAGCTGAAGCGCGAAGGAAGAACGCGCGACGTTGAAATTGTCAAACACGCATAGCTGCTCTTGCGAAAACTGACATTTCGAACGCTAAAAACGTTTTAGAGGGCTTGAAGAAGAAAGGAAAAGAGACAAGGAAGAGGAAAAAGACAATTGACGCGCTAAAATATCACAGTTTCTGTCTGAAGAAATGTAATGAAATAAGTCAATAGTCGGAAAGCAGCGAACTGCATGGCGGTTTAGGACGCCAAAAAAAGTTTGGACAGCTCGAGGAAGAGGGAGAGGAAGCCCGAGAAAAAGAGCAAAGGATAATTGACGTGTAGAAGATATAATTTTTAGCTTGAAAAATCTAAAAGCAAGTCAATGACCGGAGAGCGGCGCGCTTCGTGCCGGTTTTGGACGCTAATGAAATCTCGAAGAGTTCGAGGAGGAAAGAGAAAGAGACAGGCGGGGCAAAGGACGTGTCGAGATATCATAGTCTTTGTCTTGAAAAATGTAACAAAAAATAAGTCGTTGACCGGAAAGTCGTGCTTTAAAATAAGCGCGAAAGTAATTGCCGCGCGTTTGGACGAACGACGCGTAACGGTCTCTTCGATAAACGGAATTAAATGGTCATAACGGCGAGCCCGCGTAAATAATTAGCGGACGGACGGCGATCTCGGCAAACTGCCGTCGCTGTATCGTATCGATAAGTAATATTTTCGGCGCGCGAGTTCGCACAAACGACACGACGGGACGCGACGCGCCAGACGTTATAAATGGACCTATTGGATATGCATGGCGGCGACGTTATATACCTTTTCGCGCTGTCAACTAACGTAATCGCGTCCGGCAGCGTGGAGAGCGCTTTCCCGTGTTTTAATCTATTTCATTAATTAACGAAAATTACGCCGACGCGCACTCGCGCGACCGCCACTGCCGCAGCCACCGACGGCCACGACGATCAACGACGACGGACAATGAGATCAATGCTATTTTATGACAGCGGGACCGACAGCTAGGTTGTTTGCGCAAAGTGCAAAGGTGACGCCATCGTTGTTAGCGCGCGAGCATAATTTGGCGATTAATAATCGACGACAAACGGAGGCGCTGTCGGAACTACCGAATCAGGATGTGCAACGTGCGTTTCGCGAAGTATGTTTTTCGCGACATGGGATTAACGTGTCGCTCTTCTCGTGAGAATATAATACTGAAACATTCGTGCTTGGCGACTTACATTTTGGTCCTACCGCTAATAGATCAATATCGGCGCTGGGAATATAACGAGGATACTCCAGTCGGAATAATTCGAGGCGGTATCATTTTTGCACAAGCTCGGCAATGCCCGAAACTCGCGGAAGCAATGATCAATAGTGCCAGCGTGTTACATCAAAGCGTACGTGCGGTATCGTGCGCGAATAATTGCTTGACTTTGTGCAAAATATTATGCTGTAGTTACCTTGAATGTCTTTCGCGCGCGTATCGTATCTCAGATAGATCGTCAAATTTACTATTTCTATGGTAATTTATGCTATTTTAGGTACAGTCTTACAAGGAACATTGTGTATGTGTAAAAAGAAACATAATTTTAACTTTTACTATGATATTTTCTTCGTGCATCACGTCATATTACATATCATTCATATCTTATTCTACTTGACATTTAACACTCAAATTTATTTTTTTACATTTTCAACTTCTTTATATTCTCTTATTCTCGGTACAGTCCAGTCTTACGAGGAACATTGTGTATGTGTAAAAAGAAACATAATTTTAACTTTTACTATGATATTTTCTTCGTGCATCACGTCATATTACATATCATTCATATCTTATTCTACTTGACATTTAACACTCAAATTTATTTTTTTACATTTTCAACTTCTTTATATTCTCTTATTCTCGGTACAGTCCAGTCTTACGAGGAACATTGTGTATGTGTAAAAAGAAACATAATTTTAACTTTTACTATGATATTTTCTTCGTGCATCACGTCATATTACATATCATTCATATCTTATTCTACTTGACATTTAACATTCAAATTTATCTTTTTACATTTTCAACTTCTTTATATTCTCTTATTCTCGGTACAGTCCAGTCTTACGAGGAACATTGTGTATGTGTAAAAAGAAACATAATTTTAATTTTTACTATGATATTTTCTTCGTGCATCACGTCATATTACATATCATTCATATCTTATTCTACTTGACATTTAACATTCAAGTTTATCTTTTTACATTTTCAACTTCTTCTTTATATTCTCTTATTCTCGGTCCAATCTTATGAGGAACATTGTATATGTGTAAAAAGAAGTATAATTTTAATTTTTACTTCAATATTTTCTTCGTACATCGTCTCATATTATATATCATCCATATCTTATTCTGCTTGACATTTAACATTCAAATTTATCTTGCATCCTAATCTTTTTACATTTTCAACTTCTCCTTTATATTCTCTTATTCTCTTATTCTCGGTACAGTCCAGTTTTATGAGGAACATTGTATATGTGTAAAAAGAAGTATAATTTTAATTTTTACTTCAATATTTTCTTCGTTCATCGTCTCATATTATATATCATCCATACCTTATTCTGCTTGACATTTAACATTCAAATTTATCTTGCATCCTAATCTTTTTACATTTTCAACTTCTCCTTTATATTCTCTTAGCAGAAACTATACTAATTACCCTAAACTATACTAATTACCTTAACCTCCTAAATATTATCGCAATATACATTATACACAGCCTTATTACTCTACTCTAATTAGCCTTAATCTCGCTCATCTCTCTTTCTTCTTCCATTTGTAATAAAATTAATCACAATGAAGTAAGGGATGTGCATATCTGGAATTACGTAGATTTACGTATCTCAAGCAATTCGATTACTATGAATAGTTGGGCTTTCAATGGGAATCAACACGGCAGTCAACCTGTTATAAATGGAACGTGAAATATGGCTAATATGTTGTTCACAATGGGAAACACGTGAAACCAAGTGAGTGTACTAACACGAAGGAACGCGATGAGGAAAAGCGAGAAGAGCTGCCGGCGAGCTGATTTATCGTTGCGGCGCGCGCGCGCGAGATGTTACGCGGATCTGCACGGTCGGTCTGTCTGCGTTTGACATTTGGTGCCTTACGATGATCGACTGAAATATGAGCCTTCACGTCGTGAACGTCCGACTGGCCGGCCGGTCGGTCGGTCGGTCGGTCTGGCGAAGTAGAGAAACTGGATTTCAGTCATAGACGTGTGCGCGCACAAAGTTGAAATTGGCACTTACGATGGACGCCCATTGCGCTTTCGCTGAATATTCATGCGCCACGCTAAAGGGTTATTGAACCGCTCGGGCCTGAACCTTGAATGAGCCGTGCCACATAAAGATCGCAAGGGAGCGAGAAAGGGCGAGAACGAGAGGGGGCTGCTGCGGATTGAGAAGAAACAAAATGTGCAATCCGTCTACGATTACACAGGTCAACATTAAACGCACAGCGCGACATGGAGGAGATGAATCATTTCCCGTAGGTTTCTGCCCGCTGAATCCGACCTGTGTTATCTGGCTGTGAGATAAAAGTGCTTGTATATGATCCTGCACGTTCTTATTATTTTGACCGTTAAATGGACACTGAGAGAAAGAAGTACTTGAAAATTTATTTGTGAGACTTGTAAAGTTTATTTCTGTGAAATAAGTTTCTAACGCACAAATTTACGGCAAAATTTTTTTCATATTTTTTTCGTACTTCTATTTCGTATTTCTATTTCTATGTAATAAATATCAACGTGATCTGATCAGTCATAAGGAACTCAACGTTACTGAATTTCGTGATTTAATACACAAAATTGCTGTAAAGTATACGTGTAAGTCACAGTTTATCGAGGAGTGTTCACAAAGATGAGCTTTATACCCACAAATCAATCATCAAGTATTTTTTATCAGTGAAACACTGACGACTACTACCATATTCAAGATGTCAAAAATATTATTTGCATCGGAGTATATTTCATATGAAACATTTTGAACGTTTATATAAATAGACTCGAATGGGAAGAGCAAAATGAGATTATGTAAACGTCGACTTTTGAACGTCGCACAAAAAGCCGATATTGTCGCGCTAATTTAATGTCGCTAAAACACGTCCGCCTAACGAGCATAATGGCCCGCAGGAACCGTCTCGCGTACGAGCCATCCGCGAAATATCATTTATCTTGCATGCTAATTCGCATCAGGCGGACGTACGTCGTCTTCGGATAATTATAACTAATATGGTTATATGTTCTTCAGCGAGAGATAAGGTGATCTCAGCGAAGCCCTCGAGTCGCGGATTTTAATAATAAAAACGTTACATCGATCACGAGAGCGACGAATTAATATTCAGCGATGAGGGAGATCTCCCCGCGCGGATTATGAGGCGTTTCGTCTTCAAGATGGCCCGACATTGCGGATTTCCACGTGGAGTTATCACACGTAAATTGACGACGCGTCGCTCTTGCCGATTCCAATAAATTCCCGCTCTCGCGTGTGTCACGTCGCAACTAGGCGATGGAAATGTTTTAAAAGCGCGAATGTTTTAAGCGTCTCTGTTATGTTTTCACTTGTTTGATTCCCGCGTTCTTTTTCTTATATATTGCTTATATAATTTGCTTTTGTTTTTTATCTTTCTATTCAGTCTAATGTCTCTACATGTAAAAATTTCTCCCTTGACCAGAGAAGTCTCTC